GAAGAGAAAGGGTTAACAATTAATGTCAAGAAGACAAAATTCATGATTATTTAAAAAAAAAAACAAAGATTGAATGCAAACCTGTACATTCACAATAACGAAATCCAACTGGTGCATAAATATAAATAGTTGGGAACAAGTGTTAATAACAACAATGACATTACAGAAGAAATAAAAAAAGTCATTACATTAACTTAAATCTGAAAATGATATTGGTTAGATGCTACATCTTTTCGATACTGCTGTACGGAATAGAGACTTGGACTTTAAACTAGAGCAATTTTAAAAATACTTTGGACAGACAAAATAATAAATAGTGTAGTTTTTCGTAGAATGAACAAATAACGGGAGGTGTTGATCACCATCAAGAGAAGAAAGTTGGAATATCTTGGTCATGTGATGAGAGGAAAAAAGTACCGATTGTTCCAGTTAATTATCCAAGGAAAGATTCAGCTCAAACGAAGCGTGGGGAGACGACGTATATCTTGGTTGCGCAATTTAAGAGACTGGTTCCAGTGCACATCTAACCTAATTATTTAGAGCAACAGCTTCAAAGATACGAATAGAAATAATGATTGCCAAACGTATCGGAGAGGGCACTTGAAGAGTTGAAGAGGAAGAAGAATGAAGTTGGTCTTAAAATGAACTTGACAAAAACAAAAACCATGTATAACAAGCTAGTGGATGTCCAAGATGTAATAATAATCAACATTGCACTTAAGATAGTAGGCGAGTATGTATACCTGGGACAATTAATACATAAATCTGGCTCCTTACTTTCAGAAATCAACAGAAGAATGAAACTACTCTTATTTTGACGACGTTATGGCAAAATAAGTATTATCCCTTATTAAGTTCACTAAGTAAACTTCAAGCTTCAGCGAGGAGCGCTACTACCTGACTTGACAATGCCAAGTGCGACCTTGTCGAAACATCGTCAAAATAAGGTTTTATTAAAACCAAAAGTTCATAGTGTACTCGCTTCGGCGGTACATATACTAAAATTGGAACGATAAAGAGAAGATTAGCATGGCCCCTGCGCAAGGATGACACGCAAAATCGTGAAGCGTTCCACATTTTTGAACAAAATGGATTTAGGCAGAATCGATCAACGGCTGATAACATTCTGGAACTCGAAAGCGATATTATGGAATCGTTTGCAACTAATAGAAAATGTACCGCGATATTTTTTGACTTAAAAAATGCCTTTAATACTGCCAGGAAATACAGGATTCTAAAAACGTTGTATGAGTGGAATATCCGGGGACACTGTTTATCGTTCATCAACAATTTTTTAACCAATCGGACTTTTCGGGTAAGAGTTTCCAATTCGTACTCGAAAACTCACAGCTTAACAAATGGTGTATCACAAGGGTCTGTTTTTAGCCCAATATCGATTAATGATTTAGCGATTAATGATATTTTGAAAAACATAGAAAAACCTTTAAAAGCACGGATTTATGCTGACGATTTAGTGGTATTTACAAAAGGAAAAAATATATATAGTATGACAAAATGTTTACAAAGTTTTATCAATAAACTGGAAACATGGTCTCTGAATACTGGCTTTGAATTTTCTACTACAAAAACAAGAGCCATGGTTTTTGCAAAAACAGCAAATGTAAGTACTGCGTCAAATGTTACGTTATACGGGAAACCAATAACAGTAGATACTCATATTAAATTTTTAGGAATGCATTTAGACAACAAACTGACATGGCGAGAACATATAAAGCAATTACAATTAACCTGTCATAAGAGAATAAACATCTTAAAAACATTATCAAACAGGAAATGGGGTTCTGACCAAAATACAATACTATCAGTATACAAATCGTTAATCAGGTCTAAACTCGATTATGGATGCATCGCTTATTGTTCTGCCAGAAAGTCTATTTTAAAATCTCTAGATACAATTCATAATAATGGTCTTAGAATCGCACTACGAGCATTTAGAAGTACACCTATTGAGAGCATATATGCTGAACTTGGTGAGCCATCCCTTTACCAGAGGCGAATGCAACTAACATTAACACATTCATCCTCAGTATACTGTAATCGAGGAAAACCTATTTACAGTAACACCTTCACAGATAAATATAACGAACTTTTTAATCATAATGATAAACTAAAAAAACCATACTATGAAAGAATTAGAACATATTGCAAGAAATTAAACTTTGATTTTCCTGACATATTCGATCCAAACATTAACGATCCTCATATCCCTTGGTCAATCAATATTCCACAGTGCAATAAATATTTGTGCAAATATAATAAGTCGGAAATACGTCCCTCAGAAATAAAAACTATTTTGTCAAATATATGGAAACTCCCTGGAAATGAAAAAGCAGACTTAAGTGCGCGTAGTGCAGTGTCTAGTGCGGAATCAGAAATAATATTAGTGCGGTCCAGATGACTTAAAGATTTCTATTAAGGCAAAAATCTTAGAAGTCTGGCATAACTAATGGCAAATATCAACGTCTAAACTACGACAAATTAAAGATACAGTTAAAGGAACTAAATCTTTTTACAAAAATTGTCAAGAACAGAGTGTAGTTAACCGATTACGATTAGGCCATACTAGACTCACACACTCTTATCTTTTTTCTAAATGTATCCCACCAATATGCGAGCACTGCAACTCAACCTTAACAGTAAAGCATATATTTGAATGTGACAAATTTAAACATCAACAATCTGTTTATAATATAGATTCAAACTTATCAGTTGTGCTAGGTCAAAATAGGTACTCAAAGAGCTTAATAGATTATTTAAAAGCCATCAAGCCATAAGATTAGACTTTATTTATTTTTTTTGTTGTACAAAATTGCTGACTTTTTTAGTACTATTTATAGTACTATTATTTCTATTAGTTAGTTCTATTATTACTATTAGTTCATAGTGATAAAAAAAGATATATACATATAACAACCGATAAAATAAATAAATAAGAAACAATTACGTGCAAAAGAGATAACAAAATATTCACACGAGTATAAATAGTTATAATTTATCAAAGAATAGTTAAACAAAAACCTTTTTGTTAAGGGGGATGAAGATCTCGCGATGACCTATAAGCATGTTATAGAGAACAGAACTATTCGTTTGGCTAGTTCATGCAAAGAATAAAAGTAAAAAAGAAATAAAGAATCAAATAACCACTTTATTATTATTTTTATAAAATCGAAAGACGATATGTAAACTAAACAAATACATGGAGCATTACTATGCAAATTGTTACGTAATGCAAAATAGAGGAATTCTCCAGATTACCAGCTCTGCATTTACGATCGATTTTGTACAATTCCGAATAAATCTAGATAAAATAATATACTTCCGGATAATCCACTGCGTTTGCGGATTAGCCAACATTAGCATATTTAATTAAAAATCTACATAGCCATCTTTGATCATTACTTTTGCGCATGTTACCAGTTCATTTTTGTATTCAAATATATGTTGGAGAATACACCATTTCGGAAATAAGATTCAGAAATATGTTAAAACACTAACCAAATAAAAATGTATGCAACTATTTTTTGAAACTTTTGAACCAATTTGTTACCAAGTTGCCATTAAAATAAAAAATAAACGAAAATTTAGGCCAAATTTTTCAATAGTGTATTTCTAGTGCGTATAGATTTTTCAAAGAAAGAAAACATAAAAGGATATGCAAGTCATAAGCATTGACACTCGGCATTAACCAAAAAATTTCGGCAAATTTTTAAAAATTATACAAAATAAAAATAAAGCATATATATAATATATTAGCAACTATTAGGAATACAAGCATCCAAGATATATAAAAAGAACAAATTATTTATATATTTATTTACAATAAAAGGCATTATGGGTTTAGATGGAATATTAAACTTGGAATATTAAAGCATACACATACATAATATTTGTCCAAATTATAATTTTCATTAAATATGCACTAGTCTAATACAGTATTAAAGCATTTAAAACTAAAATATACTCATCTGCAGCATTTTGCATCACAAAGGATTTAAACCACAACGCAAAAACCACCAACTCAGAGCTCCAACACAATTGTATACAATAAAACTGAAGCGAAAACATGCACAAATTCACAAAATCGAAAATACTTATCTCAAAAAGCTGTAGAAGTGCTTTTACAAAGAATTTTCGTAACTATGGTTGACATGATGATGACATTGCAAGAAGGGGACGCTAACAGTGACGCCGACGCCCCAATAGCGTCTATGAGAGTAGGATTCTGCGAGGGATGAACGAGGGATGCGGATGATTCTTGCTCTTTGCTGGTGTACACTGATAAAAATCTGGATGTTGGATTTACACGAGGGAGAGTTTGTGTTCGCGCCCAGGGGATGATCCATAAAAGTTTGATAGCTAAAAACACGGATTTTATATAATTTAGTTTAGCAGGGGAAGTTTTAAAAATCATTTAGAAACAAATACCATTCAGCTCCATTCTGAGAAATTTTTAATATTATATCACAGATAAGAGTCTAGTCAAATTTTATATATAAACAGGTAATAATACATAGTAAGAGATACTCTGCTTCTGCCGTGCTAAACCCAAAGTAGGTATCGGCATATTTTATCGAAAGTGATTGTTCTATTTCTATGTAAAACAGAATATGTGCAATCTATTTACTGACGCTTAAAAGCAGTATAAGCATTTTCTTTTAAATAAAACTTTAATGTTTATAGCGGTATTTACAGTTTTCTACTAAAATACTATGCCTTTTAACGACAAGTGTCAAATAATAGGCGTTTTGGAGGTATCTGGCGTACTTGAACTATATTATACTCATATTAATTTGGTAGTCTTTACCTTTTATGGAAAACGGCCAAATAGTTCAATGCATCTTTCCTGTTTCCCACATTCTAATAGTTTTCAGTTTTTTATTATTCAAATTTGTCAAAAATTTGACCTTATCGATATTTTCGTTCAATGAGAATATACGGAACTAATAACCAATATATATATAAGGAAGCCAAAACAACAATTAAAGTATATGAAGGAACAAAATCATTACAAATAGGTAGAGGCGTGAGACAGGGTGATACAATATCACCGAAAATTTTCAATCAGGCTCTTGAAGATACTTTTAAAAGATTAGAATGGGAAAAAAAGGTATAAAAATTTGTGGACGCTTGAACGCTTGAACCATCTAATGTACGCTGATGACATCGTATTGGTAACCGATAAAAAAGAAGAATTATTTGAAATGATGATAGAACTGGACGTAGAAGCTGGAAAGATAGGCCTTAATATGAATTACAGCAAGACCAAAACTATAACAAATACAGATGAAGACATCACAACGAGAATCGGACAAGATGAAATAGAACAAGTTAAGGATTATATATATCTTGGTAAAACTATAAAACTTAACAAAGAGAACCAAACAGCAGAGATCAAGAAACGAATTAGACTGGCATGGGCGGCATTTGGCAAACTAAGCTACATTCTTAAAAACAAAAGATATCTACAGCATCTTAAGACCAAAGTATATAATCAATGCGTACTCCCTGTTGTTACTTATGGTTCCCAAACGTGGACATCTACAAAAGCAAACATAGACAAAATCATAAAAACCCAAAGAGCAATGGAAAGAAAAATGTTGCACATAAGACTAATGGATAAGAAGAGAAACGAGTGGATAAGAGAAAAAACAAAAGTGAGGGATGTTAGACAAGAAGTTGCAAAATTGAAATGGAGATTTGCAGGATACAATATAAGACAAAAAGAAGACCGATGAAACAAAATTCTTATAAGTTGGAGACCGTGGGAATATAAAGGAAACAGAGGAAGGCCCCAAATGAGATGGGCAGATAATATCAAGAAGTACGTGGGCTCTAGATGGATGACTGTAGCGACAGACAGAGAAGAATGGAAAAGGATTGGGGAGGCCTATGTCCAAAGATGGACCGAAGAAGGCTTATTAGATAGATAGATAGAAGAATTTATCAAATTACGTAATTTGAGTCTTGTATTATGGAATATGCCTTGTGTGTTGAATATGATATATGTATCTGTATTTTTCTAAAATTTTCGTGTTTCTGAAATTAACTAGACAAAGACAAACAGGTATCATGATCATCATTGGTTCCTAACAATATTTCTCCAGTCAAACCTATTATTTGCAGCTTCGTGACAGAAAATTATATCAACTATAAAAAAAAACAGATCGAATATATAGCCCCCCTTCTGAAAGGACAAATATGATATCCTCACAACAAGGTCAGTATAATGGTGTTAAATGCTTTCTAAAAGTCAACAAACAAAATCAAATTGCCATTCTATTGGCATTCTATTGTTTTTTCAATGAGTAGCTTGAATGTAAGATGGTGGTCATTTGTCCCATATCCCCTATATCTGCTATACCTTACGAGTATATAAATGTTAAGAAAATATTAATCTTAAGGAATAATCGAATTTATTTCATTTCTGCACCAAACGGTAGGTTTTGGGTCAATAATTAATTTTGTATAATAAAAGAAAAATGGCCAAATTAGCACTTAAACCCTTTTAGAAATAATCGATTTATTTGAAGATACATAGATTAAGACTACTGGGCTAATTATTAGCACGAAATGATTAGTATAATCGAGAATTTCATATAATATTCGGACTTACTTTAAAGTGTTCCAACATTTCAACGTAGTGAATGCAAAAATTATAATTGCTACAGAATTAATGGGACAATCATAAAATATCATCTATTTGTAATGAGTAAGCCTCCAGATATCCAGATTGAATCGGAAACCAAAAATATACCAAGCGCCTCACAGAGATTTTCTAAGGCCTTATTTAAGATCGGTAACCGTAATCATCAAAATATCAAAAAGTACAATTTTGTAGTCTAATATTGAAATATCTTCTTATTTTGGTACTTTGAGTTCCTAAAACAAATGAAAAATGGGAAAACACCAGGGGAAGATAAAATTACTTCAGAGATGCTAAACATAGGAGGCACTGCATTAGAAGAGGCAATAAGAGCATTACTTAATAAATGCCTATTGGAAGGACAAATACCAAAGACATGGAAAAATGCGGAAGCCATTCTACTCCATAAAAAAGGGGACGCCGCAAATATAGAAAACTACCGACCAATAAGCTTATTGTCACACCTTTACAAACTACTAACCCGAATAATAACAAAGAGATTGACAGCTAAACTAGATGCACACCAACCAGTGGAGCAAGCAGGCTTTCGTAAGGGTTTTAGTACTATCGATCACTTGCAAATAATTCGGACCATTATTGAAAAAACAATAGAGTACAACATACCACTATATCTGGCATTTGTCGATTATCACAAAGCATTCGACAGTATCGAGAAATGGGTTTTCTTAACAGCATTGGACGACGCCAGAGTAGATTCAAGATATACTGCCCTCCTTAAGAATATATACGATGATGCTACTTTTCACGTAAAAATAGATGATGATCTGGAAACTATGAAAATAGACCTTGGCAAAGGTGTGAGACAGGTTACACCATCTCACCTAAGTTATTTACTTTGGCATTAGAAAATGTTTTTAAACAACTAAATTGGGCCGAAAATGGATTAAAAATAGATGGAGAATATCTTAACCATTTGCGTTTTGCAGACGACATAGTACTAATAAGCACAGATATCCATGAACTAAAATCAATGCTACAAGATTTAAATCACAAATCGAATCAAATAGGATTAAAAATGAATCTCGACAAAACAAAGATATTAAGCAACAGCCTAGAAAAGATTACGATAGATAACATCAATATAGAAAAGGTAGAACAATATATATATATATATATATATATATATATATATATATATATATATATATATATATATATATATATAAATATTTATATATATATATATATATATATATATATATATATATATATAATATATATATATATATATATATATATATCTAGGACATGCAATTAAAAACCAAAAGGAAAATCAAACCCTAGAAATTAAAAGAAGGACACAATTATCATGGGCTGCTTTTGGTAAGTTGAGCTTCATTTTAAAAGACAGAAAAATCCCAATTCACTTAAAATGAAAAACCTATGACACTTGTATACTACCAGTTGCAACTTATGGATTTCAAACTATGGCAATAACAATAACAATGGTAGAACAATTAAGAGTAACTCAACGGGCCATGGAGAGGGCCATGTTAAATATAAGCCCCAGAGACAAAATTCCTAACATCGAAATACGTCGAAGAACCAAAGTAACCGACATCATGGGAAAAATAGCGACATTTAGATGGCAATGGGTAGCACATGTAGCAAGACAAGACACCAACAGATGGTCTCATAAAGTGACATTCTGGAGACCTCGAGAAACAAAAAAAGCGTGGGAAGACCTAAAAAGAGATAGATAGACGATATAACTGCTATAGCTGGAAAGCAGTGGATGAGAATTGCAAAAGATAGGGAAGCGTGGAAGCAATTGGAGGAGGCCTATGTCCAACATTGGATAAATGAAGGCTGAAGAAGAAGAAGACTTTGAGTTCACTAGGATTTTTCACAAGTGGTCAGGATAACAACAAATATTAGATTTAGCCATTTTTATTTCTTTTTTTATGGGAAACTATCATTTCCCATAAATAAAGAACGAGGTACTTTGCTTCTATTACTATCTATTGAACAAATGGTACTCAATAAATACCATTTTCACATTGCTCAAACCAAACAAGACCAGCAGAAAACTATCAAAACTTTTGTAACTTAAATTAATAATACGCAGTCATGGTAAAAGGATAATAATAAGATAAAGCAACCCTTAATCGGGGTCATTATAATAAAAACAAATTAAATACTCTCATTTCACAAATAGATTGCGTTTTTAGTAAAAATAATTACTTACACATTATAGATGATTTAAACAGAAACTTTTAACATAATCTTATATAGGTCATATTTCTGTGCATGGGAATATTCTTATAGTAAATGAGCAAACGATTGATATAGATATGTTCCAATCCAGTCCATGACAGAAGATTGAATATTCATCCTAAAATATTAAAAAATATTTTTTGTTAAGTTGTTTGTTATATTTGATATATTGACAATATATTTGGACAAGATTTTTAAATTTATAAAATTTGTTCTGCGATAATATCAATTTAAGATAAATAATTAAAATGATCTATATCTCTTCTTTCTCAAAATACAGCTAATACAAGCACTTATACAAGCAACAATTAAAGACACAGAAATTATATAGAACCTAAAGAGTTACACTTATAGATCAAATCTATTGCGTGAAAAACTAATTTTACCGTAGAAACAAATTTTGATACCTAAATTTCTTCATGTCTTGCGATAACCTCATAACGGAGAAAATAAAAAGAAAAATATTTCATGCAATTAATTGTATAAAAATAAATAAAAGTTATATTGCTCATAACATAGATAGGCTAACACAGAGCGAACACATCTGTCAAGAGCGAATGAAAACTATTCTTTCAAACCAACTCTATTATCGCTGACTTTAAGAGGCGAACAGTAATCAGCGCTTGGCAATACACAGAAATGACTGGCAAAACAGACTAAAGAAGGCCGAGGCTTGATTAGAGATCTAGTGACACTCTAGTATCGTATATGCGTTACGTTAAATGTTCCAAAAACTTAAAAAAAAAATCTTTTCGTCGTTGAAACTTATTAGCTTAAAACTAAAAATCGCTAATAATATCGCTGTTTATCTACTTATGATCGTTATTAAATTGATGTTTTTCATAGCATTTCAAAGTAGGACGCCCCCATTTTAGATTTTATTATTATAGCAAATTTGTGTTTTTCATTTGACTTCTTAACCCCTCAGGAACTTCCCACAGGAACACCTGTAGGAAAAAGAAGCAAAGGCCGACCGCGAATTAGGTGGTTAGATGGAGTGGAAACCGACTTAGGAATATTAAAAATCAGAAGATGGCAACATGTTGCCAAAAACCGAACAGAATGGCGACGAATCTTAGAGCAGGCCAAGATCCACAGAGGATTGTCGAGCCAAAGATGATGATGACGATTTGACTTCTTAGGTCGATGGACTGCAGACTACGAATGCGATTCTCTATTTCCCAATCAGGAAAGTCTAAACTTTGTCTCGCTGTGTATATCTTTGCATTGATGATATACTCTACTCTCCGGTATTTTCAGTGTCTATAATTTGTAATGTTGAAAATTAAACTGAATTTATTATAACTGATTAAAAGCATCTAATCAAATAACATATACTCTTTAATCAATTTTCGGTATTAAGAGATTATCGAATGATAATATTGTAAAAATAAATCAAGCAAGAAAGAAAGGCAACAAAGGCTCAAGATGACGAACAGAAATAAATTTAAATGTTTTTAGTCATAATCAACGATAATACTATATCAAGGAGCAGAAAAGTTCTGCCCAAATGTAAAAAAGTAATGTTAGCAAACAACTGACGCACAAAATAGAAGAAAGTAGAATACTGTAAAGCTGAAAAAATATTGACCCTCAAGAAAGTAGCAGGAAACACAATAATACTCATTCGACATATATACGAAAAAGTAACAATAACTGCAAACTTTTATTTTATGACGGCAAAGATTAATATTAGCAGAGATGTGTGACAGGAAGATACTTTGTAATAAAAGTCAGTCCACCAGAAAAGACTACCAAAAATTTAAAGAGGCCAATTATGCAAACGCCTTCTATAAGAAATAAACAAGGAGGTTGGACGAAAAACAACTAACAAATAGCATTCATATTTGCAAACTATATTAAAAGTGTTTTCCACACAACATATATTATATAGTAGGCATACATGAATCTCTCTCAGAAGTTGCTCGACAAGATGATGTGGTTTTTCCTTTAACCACAACAACAGTTAAAAATGAAATCAACACGAACGTTAATTCCAAAAAGGCACCCGTCTACGATCTGTTAACTGGCAGGTCC